CGGAGAAAACCAAATTCGCCAGTTCACCACTTTCGGCCAAGCGGCAGATTTCAGCTGACCTCTTTGGCAAATAAACACGATCATTTTGTTTGTTAACAAACTGCTGCACAACGAATGTTTTCTCATCGAAAAACAAGAAAACCAAATTCGGCAGTTCATTACTTTCGGCCAAGCGAAGCAACTTTTAGCTCTTTTGAGTCTATTTTCTTTCTGTTGCGGTGTAAGTTCTTGCTTTACCCCGAGCTCATTTTTCAACATTTGCGAATGGAATATTGCGATATGCTCAGCTCACGGGCCATCTTTCGTCCACTGCAACGTGGCTTTCGATCATGTAGTTTCTTTACTGTTCGAACCATTTCTGCTGATGTTGCTGTTTTCTTCCGTCCACTTCCATGACGTTGGTCTACGCTACCAATTCCATGGTAACGAGCGATGGTACGAGACACAAAAGATTTATTCACATTTAAATGCTGAAGTTCTATAACAATAGCCACTTGTGGTTTTCCAGCCAAATTTAAAGAAATCACACTATCACACTTGAATTCCATCACCAATAACTTTTTTCTGGAAAATTCTCACCAAAATGTTTTGTACGCTTGTAAACAACATAATGTGCTGTCACTGGAATAATTTTAACAGCTATCGGATGAGTGGCTTAGAAATGACAGCAGGTTGAAGTTGATTGCAGTTTTTATCTCGCCCTGTATACTGCTACAGGCCATGGGAAATGGCATTCCCATTTTAATTTTAATTGGGCGCCATATTTTGACAATTTTTATATATGAGAAACTTTTCAAATGATATATGGCGAGTTGTCTCAAATTTTTTAAAAGCGCCGTTATACTGCATTTATTTTTCAAACTAAAAACCACTTATATATTTTCATATATTTCTGAAAAACATTTTTAGTAAGATTTTCGTTGGGCGCCGCATTTAAAGACATATATAATGAGGGCCATTTTTACGGATATAATACAAATTGTGGGAAACAATTAAAAATAAGACTTTCTGTTTGTTTTTTAATAATTCGTAGCTTTGTTTCGTTTTTTTGTTTTACAAGTATATGACTTTTACGACATCATGTCGCAAACATCACTCATACTCGGTCCATTTAAAATTATCCTTATTTAATTTTTTAGGAATGTTAAATTTTGCATTAATTTTTTGACATGGTCGCAAACGCTTGTATGCATCCCATCACTGGCCAACACAAGCACACATAACATTTAGTTATTTGTTGTGGTGGTTGTTGCCATAGCACAAAGTGTGCAATTGTTTTTAATGCCGCTCAAACGAGAGAGCGAGTAAAAGCAAATGTAAATTACAACAACTCCATTTGCTATTCATTTACGTTAATGTTTGCGATTGGTTATCATGATTATCGCTGCAGCTAATGCAGTGTATTATGCTACTGAAAGGGAATTGTAATGATCCGGAGATGTTTTAGATTTCCTTGTGACAATGAGAAATTGAAATTGCAGATGTGAAAGAAACAATGGAAATGAAAGATGTTATTTGTACGGTATTTTAAGAAAGGAAGTTCAATAAATGAGGACTTAAATGGCTATACAAGAATGTTTCACAGACACATAAATTAAAAAAAAAAATAATAGCCTATTTTCAGCTGGGAAATTTTCTAAAATCAGGATAAGAAAATGTATAACGTATCATATCTCTTTGGACGCAATCTGTTTGGGGGCATTTGAAGTCTCTCTTTTTAGTGGCACGAAGCTAAAATTTAGAACATATCAGTATTTTGTATGCAGGCAGGTCAAGTTCAAAGATGGGCTATATCCACGTCCAAGATATCGTATTGTCCCCATATAACGATGCCTCCGATATTCTCTAGTTTAATGATTTTAGTCACATTTTTCAATGGAATTGTAGGAAATTCTACACAAGGACTTCTTTCTGAATACTTAAACCCTAGGAAGAGAATTGTTATTAAAGTTCCACGATATCACCTATCATCCATATAACGGTACCTCCCGATATTCGGTTTTTGATGATTGTATCTAAATTTTAGCAATGTAATTGTCTGAAAATCCACACCAGAAGTTTCTTCTGAGCATTTTACCCCCCCTGGAAGATATCGTATAGCCTCCATACAACGGTACCACAAGAATATTGGAACAAGATATTTTGATGATCATTTTTGTCCGGAATGGTTTAAAATTTGCTATATAAAGTTCATAATGGGAATCACAGCCTATGAAAAAATTGCGTATGCAGTATAGCCCCATATAACTAAACCTCACAATACTCGGTATTTTGATGATCTTAAATTGACTATGAAGGTACACGTCTTCATGTAGACCACATATATCGGCAACTCCATATACAGGGTGAGATGAAAAAACTGCAATCAACTTCAGACTGCTGTCATTTGTAAGCCACTCGTCCGACAGCTCTTAAAATTATTCCAGTGACAGCTCATTATATTGTTTAAAATCTCCGGATACCAATCCGTTGGACAATTGTGACTGGAGTATATTTCAAAGGAAGGTTGGCACTAAAAAATACCAAAGTGTCGATCACCTCAAGCAAGTGTTTCACTGGGAATGGGCCGAAATACCGCAGAGCAACATTCGGGCAGAGTGTGATGGTTTCATTGGCCGTCAAGTTATAAACGTCATAATGCGTGCCAAAAATGATCAATTCGACCAAATCTATACTTGTTCTAAAATTTGATGCTATGTCCGACCTTTTTTTATTTTACAAGTAAAAGTATCAGAGTATCAAGTACAAGTAAAAGCATTAAAAGGAAAAATATCAAAATTGGGTATCCATCCAATCAGAAGCTGGCAACTAGATTTGGCCGAACTAGTTCATAGTTCAGTATGAGTGGTTTAAAATTTTCATATCCCTCATACGCAGAGTTTTCATACAAATGACCGGAGTCCACGGAACTAGATAAGGTACTTGTCGTTCGGTCGAACTAAATTGGCAAAACTCTACTGAAAACCATGCTACTGTTTGCTATACTGCCAAATATACCAAGTAAAAGTTTGTAATAGAGAACGCCATTTAGCCTTAAGATTAAGTAGCGTTTCGTGTACACGAACGTTAAGGAACCTTAAGGAAAAGCAGTAAAGCAAATCTTAAAGTCGGGCGGGGCTGACTTTTTGAAATCATACCAACTATGATTATAGTAATAAAAGTCCAAAGGAACCAAATATGGGAGGAATATGTTCCTCTGAATTGATTTATACTAAATATGTCGAGGCATTTGCGCCTTTTCAATTCGGGCTTGTATTATCCATCTGGTGCACAATTAACTTGAAATCGGATAGATATACATGGTTGCCCATATTCGACGTCTTGTTGAAACCAGAACTGCCTCATACGCTTTCGACGAATAATTGTCATCACAAAATTGGTCATCATGTCGCGATAACGCTCCTGATTGATGGTAACGGCATGGCCATCTTCATTTTGGAAGAAAAACGGCCCAATGACCGTTTTCGCACTAACGCCGCACCAAACTGTGACTTTTTCGTCATGAAGAGAAACTTCTTGAATCTCCTGAGGATTTTCAGTGGCGAAAAACGGCAATTTTGCTTATTTACGGTCCCTTAGAAGGCGCACTTCTCACATTTTGTAATGTTTTAAAAGCACGTTGAGTTTTCACAATTGACTTCTTCTGTCGAATGTAAATTTCAACTATTTCAGAGCGCTCGCGTGGCGTGTATTGGTTCATGGTAAGAATCTGCTTGGACTGACGCTTCAAACGCGGTATGTCATTAAGCGATGTGACATCTCTGTCAAAAGTTATGGCGTTGCCAGATGGGTCCGTCGAATATGGGCAACCCTGTATATGGGAGATATATCTAAATCTGAACCGATCTCGATAAAATTTTTCAAAGGTATTTCTGAACTGTATTTGATATATTTCCCCGAATATAGTTACTACGGAGTCCATATTACGGCTATGTAGGGCAAATTTAACAAATCGGATGAACAATATGTACGGGAGCTATAGCTATATCTGAACCAATATCCACCAAATTTGACGTACTAGCTTCCAGACTAAATTCGGTCGTAAGTGCCAAATTCCATCCCATTTGGTCTAATATTACACGTTTGGTGCACAATAAACGGGCAAATCGGACGAAAAAAAAAAAAAAAAAAAAAACAAATCGTATGAGAAATACATATGGGAGCTATATCTATATCTGAACCGATTTTGAATTTCAAATTTGGCACACTTATTTTAAATTCCAATCTGGTCGTACGTGCAAAATTCCATACTATTTGGGATGATATTACAAGTTTGGTGCACAATATAAGGCAAATTGGACTAAAATATATATGGGAGCTATACCTAAATTTTGACCGATTGTCTCCAATTTCAATAGGGTTCGTCCTTGGGTCAAACAAATTATTTGTGCTAAATTTCATCTGAATCGGACAATAAATGCGACCAGTACTTTGTTTACAAAAATAGATGGACAGACAGACGGACATGCATTAATCGACTCAAAATGTGATCCTATGCAGATCATCAAAAGGAAATATGGTTCTATCTCGTTTCCTTTTGCCTGTTACAAACAAATGCACAAAGACATAATACCCTGACCACCTTGTGGTGTTGGGTACCAATACCAATAATATAAACGAAGGCCATTTTTCCGACAATTTATATTTCACACCAAGGAAAAAAACAAAATGTCCACAAATGCAAACAATTTAATAAATGCAATGTTTTAATATTTTATTATTTTAATATTAATTCACAGAAATAACTTATTAAACAACTCACAAGAATGAAAAATGCTTAAAACTAAAAAAAAAAAAAACTCTCATTAAGAATTTATACTCAATGAACCTTGGAAAATGTGTGTTTATAATTATTTAACGAAAATTTTGAACAAATAATCTAAGTATCGACAATACAATATATTAAGTTTTTTTGCCTGCTACGAATTAAATGTTTTAAATTATATATACCTACAATACAATATAAAAATATTCCTTTTGTTTTCTTCTTTTCATTCAAGGATGACATATCGAACAATACAACACGTTCGGAATTGAGTTTTGTGCCAACAACAGATGATGATGGCAAATCGATAACATGTCGAGCAGAAAACCCAAATGTCAATGGTTTATATTTAGAGACCATGTGGAAATTGAATGTAGTATGTAAGTAAAAACAAAAAACAAAATAAAAAACAAAACAACAATAAGGAAATACAATATAACGTAGTAAAAAATATATATATATATATATAAAAAACATACAATATTTTTAAACAATAAATATAGTTGGCATAAAAAAAAAACTTCAAAAAATTCCAGTTTTTGCCATGCCAGCATCCTCATCATTGCCATTACAATAACCCCCAAAACAATATTCCACAGTGTGTATGAAATTTAAAACAAAAGAAACAATGACCCACTTATTGGGAGCCCAGAAAAAAATGTAAGGCGAGTAGTAATTTCTATGTATGCACATACATATATTCGTATATTTCTGTATTCTATGTTAGCCAACAACTTAAAAGTGTCATTTAATGGCCTATAAACCATATGAACAACAAACAATATCATCAGAACATGTTCGGATATTGATGCCACGTTTACAACAATGGACTATAGTAATATGTGGTTTAAACAAAAGACCTGAAATAACAATATGGATTTAAAAGGGAAACGACAGCTTTACGAGCAGGTTTTACAAATAAATTAAACTAAACTGAAAATATGAAATTCTTTGGAAAAATGTGAATACATCGGGAGTTTTTCCAGTAGATGTACTTAACTGTAAAGACATGTAATCCATAAATAAACAAGTAAGCAAAAGCTATAGTCGTGCGAGGCCGACTATGTGATACCCTACAACACTACAATATGTTAGAAGTCCCCTTATGTCCAAATCCATTTTGGAAGATTTCGATTTTTCTGTTTTTGGTTCTTTTGAACTCGTAACTATTTTGCGATCATCTCTAAAAGCAAAAGGGCCCTCTGTAATCCTAAATTTAGCCTCATCTGTATGATAAGCTTATCTACGATATTTGTATGGAATTTTTTCCCACAAAAGTAGTGGTCTATTCTACCCGCTGTCCTAAACTCTATCTTCATGCGAGATGTGTCCTTTGGATTCTATATGTGACTTTTATAACGGCTAAAAAATCAGGACATCTATGAAAACAATGAGCCTAACCCTTCTGAGCCTAACCTACCCTTTTTCGTGAGGATAATTGCAATCGGTATATAATAACCTCAACTTGTGTTGTAAAATGAAAAAAATATTACAAAATGTATTCTCCAATATTATAAGTCAAAATGAAAAAATCGCATGCGATAAAAAATATGAAAAAATAAAAATATATCACAAAATACTGCAAAATATATGTTAACATCATTATTGACATCTTTTTATGCGATTTTTTTTAGATATTATTCTTTTATACCAAAATAGTTCTAGCCATTCTTGTAATATAAGCGTTCTAGCTGACATCCCCTTCCTTTTCATATACACATTGTATATATTTCGCTATATGTATCCGATATATTTACTATCGGGATCTACGTAACGGTCAGAATTGACCTGTTCGTCTATTTGTGATTTTGCCGGGATTAAAAGTATTCGCGGTTTAATGGAAAATTTAACTATTATTTAACGCAAATGTTATGGTCTATTTCACCCACTAAATATTACCCGATGAACATCAAAATTGGAAGGCTTCTGCCCAGACCTAAGCTCTAGCCTCATGCTAATTTCCGCGTTGATTGGTGAATAATTGCGGCCTGTAGAGCAACTGCAAAATCATGAAAATTTTCAGTTTTAGGTCCATTTCAACCCCTAGATATTATGCGATCATCTCCAAAAGAAATAGGGTTCTATTCTGGCACTATCCCCACCTCCATTCTTAATTTCGTGAAGATCGGACCATAATTGCGACTTGTAGAGTGATTACAAATTAACATGGACAGACGGACGGACGGACTTACATAGCTAGATCAGCTCAGATCGGTGAGATATGAAAATCCATAATACTTTCCTATGTGGGAAACCAATATTTCGATGTGTTACATAATTTTTGGCCCAATCAAACTTATAATACCCCCAACACATAGTGTTGTAGGGTATAAAAACAAAATTTAATGTAAACATATAAGCAAAGCCTACATTCGGGTGGAGCGACCATGAGATACCATAGAACTCTCTAATTTATGGCATTGTTTCAGTAGATCTGAAACCCTTTGGACTGAAATGAGCGAATCTATCAAGATATTAAGATACATTCTGATTAAGCCCATTAAATCGCCATCAATGCAAAAGTCAGATATAGCACTTTAATATACGAGTCGCAAAGCCACTTTCAACATCTTAAATATTCGTGGTTATATTTATATTTAAAATTTTTTGAAACAAAAATTATGGTCAATTTCATCTATAAAATATTATCCGATGACAAACCAAAATGGTAGGCTTTTGTCCTGACCTAATATCTTACCCCACACAAAACTACATTCGATTTGTGAGGCTAGGGTCAGAATAGAAGTCTAATGATATTTTAGATGATCACATAATATTTAGAGTTTTAAATGGACCAAAAAGCTGAAAAAATTAGCATGGGGCTAAAGTTTAGGGCTGGTCAGAAGCCTAGCATTTTGTTTGGTCATCGGACAATATTTAGCGGGTGAAATAGGCCATAACTTTTTTTTGTAAAAAATACGAAAACTTCCACTAAAATGCGAATAATTTTAGTCCTGGCAAAATCACAAATGTACGAAAATGTTACTTCTGACCGTTACATTGATGCTCATATCCAAGATGTCGCATATATAGCAAAATATATACAAATTCATATATCACAGTTAGACCGCTCATAAGTCAGAACCGCTAGAATGCTTTTCACAATTCTCATAAATTTGGAATGGTTTCTGGCCAGAAAAAGATAAAATCTAAGAAAATCGCATATATATATCCCAATAAAAATGTGAATATTTTTTGTATTTTTTTTTTAAATTTTTGTAATATTTTTATCGCATGCGATTTTTTCAATTTGACTTACAATTTTCTTAAGTTTTTCTACAACACTATGTGTTGAAGGTATTTTATACAGGTCGCAATTATCGTCCGATCCTCACAAAATTTGCATGAGGTAGCGACGGTGTCAGAATTAAAGCCTAGTGTTATGGAGATATAAATTTAGCAGTTCAAATTTTTATTTTGCATTCGCTCTACATGAGGAGAGAGTTAGTTACAGGGAAGACGTCAAGCATTTAGGATGACCATTTCATTGTATTTAGCTTTAAAATGGACAACGATATTTGAGATTTTTTTTAATACATAACAAAACGGCGGAGTGCGTAATATCCCCCAACAATAGCTCTATTCTGACCCAAATTCGAACGTCATGCAAAGTATAGTGAGGATCGGACCATAATTGGAAGACGGACCCACATTTCTAGATCGAATCAGCACGGTATAGGAAGACTGAAATATAGGAAATATAGAAATATAGAAATTGGACTATATTTGGTAACAGCTGTGTGCATATTTGGTAGACATTTTGCATATGAATTAAGAAGAATTAAGGAGAACTTGGGTTGAAAATTGGTGAGAAAGTAGCTTAGTGTCAGGAGACGACAAAGGACACTATATATTCCGTAAGTATACTAAAAGGTACTACGCATTAAGCCCTTTGTATTGGCCAAACGGATAGAGGAAGAATTCCCAAATTTAGGATGAAGGTCGGTGATGGGGTGTCAGATAGATGTACTAAAGATTTTCATGAAATTCGAATTTAAAGTTTACTAAAAGCACTAATTTTTTTACTATTTAGTATTATGTGAACGGATAGGGCTAAAATGTAGACTTTTAGTCCAAGACTTAAGTTGGGAACTAGGTTTGATATAAGGGGGTAACTTTTCAAATATGTTCTAAGTGTAATAACTGTACCAACTGGTACTCAATTAGGTACCATTTTGTTTTGGATATACGGATGGAACAGACATTGAGACATGTTGATATTGAGGTCACTGCTAGTATGTAGGATTGAGATTTGAAGGTTGTTTAGGAAAAATGTACTAAAAAGTTCGAAAAGTACTGAATAGTCTATGAAGTAGAAATAGAGCTGGAAATATTGTCTGAAAATATTATTTGGAAAAGTGTACCAAGAAGACGAACGTACTGTTCGTGAATTTTGGCTGGAAATCTGAAATATGAAATTGGGGTCTATGATGCTGTGTAGGATTGATGAACAAAAGTTTTTATGAAAGTATTTAAATGCACAAGGTTTAATAAAAGAATAAAATTTAAATTTAAGATGAGAAATTTGGTATGTGGTCAAATTTTATTTGAGGGTGAATGAAAAAATTTTTTGTAAACAGTAAATTTCGGCCAGGTCGACATTTTAATAATTCATTTAGAAGGAACGTGAAAAATTACAAAAAATAAAAATTAAAAACATTTAATGGCGGCAATACGAAGACGTTGTCTTGTATAAATAATGTGTTGCCATAGACTGTAGTACTGATTCTGAATTTTAAAAAGGAAATTTGGAATGATTCCGGCAATGTGGCGAATAGAGAAACGTATCGTTATATGTGGTCTATAAGAAGACGTGAACCTGCATACTCAATTTTTTATAATAGGCTATAGCAACAATTCCGAACTTCAAATAGGAAATTTGAAACGATTCCGGTAAAAAAATATCGTTGCAATTATCAAAATATCGAATATTTGAAGGTAACGTTATATGAGGGCTATGCGAAGACCTAGAGCTGCATCAAATACGGAATTAGAAATGAGTCCGGTGAATAATGTCGCTAAAATCATCAAAATTCCGAATATAGGGAGGTACATTATTTATACGGTACTAAAACTAGACGTGAACCTATACGGTCCATTGTCAATACCAATTCAATTCTGCAGACGAAACAAACATTTAAGTAAAATTTTCTAGTGATTTCCACAGACAGACGTTAAATTGACATAGAATTTATTTATTTATGCAGATCAAGAATTGATATACTTTATGGGGTCTAAAATGTATATTTCGAGGTGTTACCAACGGAATGACAAAATTAATATTATGTTGAAGGGTATAAAAATGGTATAAAGTTTGGAGAATAAAAACTCTGGATCGCGTAGTCGGAGTTGGACAAATCGCAGAGGAGAAAACTTCATG